CTGGGCTCAAGCAAGTCTCCTGCCTCAGCCTCCCAAGTAGCTGGGACCACAGGCACCCGCCACAACACCCGGCTATTTTTGGTTGCAGCCATCATTGTTGTTTGGTGGCCCAGGCTGGATTCGAACCCACCACCTTAGGTGTATGTGGCTGGCACCTTAGCCACATGAGCCACAGGCACCGAGCCGTGCTATGTCCTTTATGTAAATCATGTCATTGAACCTTTGTAACTCCCTTATGAGAAAGCAACTATTCTAAGTACCCTTATTTAAAAGATGAGAAAACTGAGACAGGGAGAGATTATATTGTGATTGTCCAAGATTGTGATTCTAGTAATGAAGCCACTAATTCAAACCTGGATGATATAATTGTAAATATTGGGGCCTTAAATATTACTCTTCTTTATCTCAAATAGAATTTATAAAATGTGAATGAATCTCAGATTACTTGCATTGAATCACCTGGGGACACCTGTTAAAAATTCAGATTTCTGAATTCTACTCCAGACCTACTGAATCACAGTGGTATCTAAATACCAATGTCCAAAAGGAAGCTAGCTCTAGATTTTCTAAGATTCCTTCTTTCCCTCTGCAGCTTGGCTGAGCAGGTTCCTGACCCAGCTTGGCTGGTAGCCCTCTTCACACCTCCTATTCAAAGAGAGCTGCTTCTCCACATTCTTGGCTCAGATCCACAGTGCCTTCCAGCTCTCCCAGAATTGACAGAACTCTGTGGAACTCATGCCAGGGCCTGGGGATGCTGCTTGCCCAGGGCAGTGTCTGGTGGCTGCCACTCTCTGGCCATTCCTCCTCTCCTGACAGAAGGCAGTAGCAGGACCTCTTGAATCAGGTAGGATGTGTAAACATGGCAAGGCTACGCTGGGCCTCAGTTTCTCTCTTCATAGTATGAGAAACAATCAGCTTTGTCTCTGTCTCTTCCTGCTCCTCAGGAAGTATGCAAAACACAATGTAGATTTCATCAGAAAGAATTCTGGGCTCGGGAGAAAGGCACTCATAAGAAGACCAACCTCAAGGGGTGGCACCTGTGCCTCAAAGGAGTGGGGCGCTGGCCCCATATACCAGAGGTGGCAGGTTCAAACCCAGCCCTGGCCAAAAAAACTGAAAAAACAAAAAAAAAAAAAGGAAGACCAACCTCAAAAACTATAATAGTAGTAATAATAAAAGAACTCATGAGGACATGAGATTAGCTTGAAAGAGCTGGAGAGGAGGCTTTCTCCAGAGTTGTGAGGACTTTAGCTGTGATAATTTGGACCCACTTACTAAAGCCTCTGCATTTTTAGCTCTGATTCAATTCCAGAAGCCCTGACTTTCTAGTAGGTATCTCTGCTGCTGCAAGAGAAATTTCCTCTCTTTTGTACATGGGGATGTGGTCTTAGCAGTTTGGGTCACATTTGTAAGCATACCTAGCTATCTACTTCCCTGTGCATATACACTCACGCGTGTTTGCTCATATGGGACTAGAATAGGCAAGAAATTTGGAGCAAGACAGACCTGGGTTTCAATTTAGACTTTTTCACATTCACTGTGACCTTTGCAAGCCAACTAACCTCTCTGAGTTTCTGCCATTTTAAAATGGGAGGAAATGAGCTGAGTGCAGTGGATCATGCCTATAATTCTAGCACTCTGGGAGGCTGAGGCAGGTGGATTGCCTGAGCAATTCCTGTGTTTGAGACCATCCTGAGCAAGAGCAAGACCCCATTTCTAAAATAGCCAGGCGTTGTGGTGGGCACCTGTAGTCCCAGCTACTTGGGGGGGCTGAGGCAAGACAATCGCTTGTGCCCAAGAGTTTGAGGTTGCTGTGAGCTATGATACAAGAGCACTCTACCGAGGGTGACAAAGGGAAATTCTGTCTCAAAAAATAAATAAAATAAGAGGAAAATAATCCCTGCCTTTTCTACCACCCCATGTGCTATGCTATGTGCTATGGGGAGCAAGCTAGGTAATTAGAAACTATTAAATCCTACAGAGTGCTGGATATTGGGCACACAGAC